CCCTGGCAGCTCAGAGATGCACCCTTCACCCACCCACCCCCAACTCCGCAGCAGCCGGGCCTCCTCTCCTGGGGGAGTCCCAAGGTAATAACACTCGCTAAGGGGCATCAGTCCAGCTGCACAGAATTGGGGAAACTCACTGGCCACTGTAATAAACTACCCCCTCAAAGGGTCACAGCTGTAGGAAAAGAAAGGAGACAAGGAATGTGATGGTGGGGTGTGGGGGACAGCTTCCCATGTCATTTGTGGAGAGAACGAGAAAAGGGGGTGAGAGGGGATAACCTCAGTCTGGATGTTTGTACAAGCTGTGAAAGTTCTAAGGGAAGTCAGAGAATGGGAGGCAATGAACCTCATGCCTCAAGAGGGAAGAATTTTTTTTTATGACAAGGTGATAACCAGAGTCTTTTTTTTGAGATATAATTCACATACCATAAATTCAACCTTCACAGAGCAGAATTCAGTGTTTTTTGTCATATCTCAAGGCTGTGAATCCACAGACTGTGCAACAACTACGACTATTTAATTCCACAATATTTTCATCACCACAAAAAAACTAAGACCCATGAGCATCACTCTCCAACCTTCCATCCCCCTGCTCCAGGCAACCACTCATCTACTTTCTGCCTCTACAGATTTTCCTGTTCTGGACATTTCATATAAATGGAATTATATAATATGAGGTCTTTTGCCTCTGGCTTCTTTCATTTAGCATAATGTTTTCAAGTTTCATCCTCATTGTAGCAGGTAATAGTACTTCATTCCTTTTCACACTGAGTAATATTCCATTGTATAGAACATACCACATTTTATATATCCATTCATCAGTTGATGGACATTTAGGTTATTTCCACTTTTTGGCTGTTATGAATAATGCCGCTATGAACATTCACATGACAAGTTTTTGTGTGGATAAATCTTTTCAATTCTCTTGGGTATAAACCTAGGAGTTTTTGCTGGGTCATCTGGTCCAATGTTTAACAATTTGAGAAACTGCCAGACTGTTTTCCAAACTGACTGTACCATTTACACTCCCACCAGCAGAGTATGAGGGCTGTGACTACTCTAATTAAAGTCTAATCAGACTTTAATTCAGCCTTGATAGGACTAGAATAAAGACAATAATGACAACAATCAGGTACGGAGCACTTCACACATGCCGGCACACAGTGCCACTGCTTTATATACAGGACCCTTCAACCTCCAGGACAACCAGAGAGACCAGCTCTGCTCCACCTAGAAAACCCCATTCTGCCCCTTTCTAGCAAGGCTGTGGAACTTCCCTTACACTAAGATGGAACCACAAGCACATTTGAAATTATGAAATGCTCAAAGAAAAATAAAATCTAAACTAAACCCCGAGGTAAAAGGTTAACTACGCCAAGTTTAAACCAGGGTGAAAAAAGCGTCAGCAAACAAAAGAGCAAGGAAACAAAGTGGGGTGAAGGTAACAATGGGAAGGGGTACCTGCCCTCAGATGGGGGCAGCCACCACTCACAGCCCCATGCAGAGAAGTGGGGCAAACAGACAGCTGTGGCTGCCCCTGCCTCTTGGGCAGCCCCACGCGCCCCGCCTCACCACAGCTGCTCATACTTAGCTGCCTCACACTCTGGATTTTTCCAAGGGGTTTCTTTTGGGGTAAAAATGGTTTGCCTTTAAAAAAACTGAAAACCCTCAGTCCTAACTGTTTGCTCTAGGAAGCTCTGTGGACATGCAGGAGGAAGGATCTCTGCAGGGGGAATTCAATGCATTCAACATGGTACTAACCATACAACCATACAACACTTTCTCCTTGGTGTCTCATTTCGTCCCAAAGCAACACCCCCAGAGCACCACCCACCCCAGTCCTGAACAGAACTGTTAAAGAGATGCAGGACGCGGAGACTGCTGAAGCGGCTTCTCTGAGATCATGCCACCGCAGGTCAGTGATGGAGTCCCCTCTCCCCTCTCCCTTCCCTCTCCTCCTGCTGTACTGCAAGGCTTTCTGCCCACAGGTGGACTCTTGCTGCCCTGGCCTGCACTTCCCTCCCCTTCCAAGAACCCTTCCCATTACCAAGATTCGGTCAAAGCCTATCACCTCTGCCTCCAGACCTGACCTCACACAACCACATCCCCTAATCAGAGGGCTCACAAAAGAGACATCAGATCTCTCCAGGTATATCCATCTTAAGGTCTCTCCCTGAGCCTGCAGTGGGTGTTCCACATAAGACCACAATAAATATCAGCGAAAGAAAATAAACATCAGAAGCCAATTTTTCAATAGAACATAGCTTATAACGGGAAAATGCTGAAAATAGCCCAAGGATCAGGAGACTGGTTGAATCAATTATGGTACTTCCATGTAACTCAATACTCTGCAGAAGTTAAAAACAAGGAAATGAATTTGTACTGAAACAGAAAGATGCACATGATGTATTCAGCAAAAAACAATGTTAGCAACAAAATGAGTGGTATGATTCCATTTTGTGAAATAAATTAATAGGATATAAAGGTTTCTATGTGCACAGATAAAAATCTCAAACTTTTCACTGGTAGTGCCCTCATGGTAGTTGTTTCTGAGGAATGAGACTATAAAAGAATTCTTTTTATTTTTAAAATGTCTCTATCGTTTGATTCTTTTATGTTACAAAAAGCATATTAATTTTACAATAAAAAATAATAATATAAAATAAAAAATAAACTTCTGCCTTCACCTTTCTGAACAAATTAAATTTAACCTCATGGCCATCAAGTGAGGCAGAGCAGGACAGAGGGCTGTAGTCCCCGAGTGGGCATCAGAGTCTGCAGGGCCGAGGAGGGGCAGTGCAGAGGTGGAGCCTGAGGGAGGGAAGGCATGGAGCAGGAGGGCCCACAGAGGACGGGAAGAGGATGGGGTGGGGAAGAGGGCTGCAGCAGGATGGGAGGCAGGTACACGGGGGCTGACCAAGGAAACAGAGTAAGAATAGTAGGGACCGGCTTCCTCTTTGCTGTGAAAGAGGGTTACAGAAACGGAAAGGGGAAAAGCTAGAACGAAGGCTGTGCTACAGCAGTGTTGGACTGGAACTGGAAGTGTTAGTGTGAACACATGGTTTTCAATATATATTACACTTTGAAGATTTAGATATAGATATAGAAGAGGGAGGGAAAGAGACGGACATGGAAATAGAGATGTGTGTATGTGAGTGGCATGTCCTCAGAATTCCCTACTCAGTCCACTGAGAGGGCTTAGGAACAGTAACACCCCAGTAGCTATGAGCACACTCAGCATTCAGATCTTGCTTCTAAGTATCATTCTCCACTAAAAGGAAGGAGAACTCCTTGGAGAAACGGCTGATTTCCAGGGCTAGGGCAGGGAAATTAAAAAATGAGCCTGGAACATCCTCTTGTGCCAAAGAGCAAGGAAGTGCTCAAAGAGTGAGGAGGACATGTCAAAAAGACAGAGAAGCTAGCTTGAAGGGGCTCCTACTGGCCATTATGGATTATAACTCACAGAATAGGACAGGAAACCATGAATCCATATAGAGACAGACAGATAAGCAAAGGGAAGACAGGTAACTTTACAGTGGAGAAGCTGGAGACCCCACCTTAGTCAAGTGACCAAAGTGAACAGCATCGTAACCAGTCGTATCAAATCAAGTCCCAATCAATAGGATGCAATGAGAAGAAGGCAGCACCACTCCTGTGATAGTCCTGCCTAAGACGCATAAACAGAATCAAACCATGAGGATCAGACAGATGCACGCTGAGGGACAGCCTACAACATAACAGGCCTATAACCTTCCAAAGCATCAGGTCACACCTGAGGAACTGTTCCAAAGACCAAAGAGACGTGACAACTAAATGCAATGCTTTATTCTGAATGAGATCCTTTTCCTATTAAAGACACTACTGAGACAACTGGAGAAACGTGAGCAGGGTCTGATGATGAGATGGTAGTATGTATCAATGTTATCTTCCTTATGTTGATGCTTATGCTACTGTTACAGAGGAGAACATCCCTGTTTCTAAGAAGTACACTTTAGAGTGTTCAGCCACTCAGGGTACCTGATGGAGCATCAGGTTGACAACCTACTCTTAAAATGATACCTAGGGAAAAAAATTCCGTGCCCTGTACTTGCAACTCTTCTGTAAGTTTGAAGCAGTTTCACAATTTTTAATTGTAAATGAAAATAAAGCAATGAAGATAATGTCATGCTAAATCATCAAATGAGTTCAGACTACTACATACCAGCTTTGTGTCAAGCAAACCCCAACAGTCCTGCTTTAACTCAGAGAACCATAAACGACTCTGATGGAGGGCTTCTCTGATTAATTAGATCTATGGTACAGGGCTCAGAGGACACTCTGCCTCTTCCTGGGGTTGCCTTCCAACCCCAAACATCTAACCGCCTGTAGACACAGAACATGTCTTGAGCCCCTTCCATATCCTTGGGCAGCTGAGATAGTTCCAGACTGTAAGCTACAAGAGGAGAAGTAGTGGCCAACACCACTCACAGCAAGCCAGTGTTCTGACTGCCCTGATCCGCATGCCTTTGTCAATGTGAAATAAGAGAGGAGCAAACCTAAGAAACTCACTTGGATGAACAGAGCAGTAAGAGCAAGAGGCTACACTCCGACCCAAATAATGATGATAATGCTCCATCTCATACTGGCCCAGCGCTTTAATATTTCCAAGCTTCTCTCCATCTGATTTCCCATGATCCATACAAAGAAGCTATAGACCCCCAAGCCCCCAGATTAAGTAGAATTCCTGTGACATACTGCACAGCGCCTCCTCCACGGTAGCCCTTGAAACATTCCTAATGACACAGAGATATGTGTGATTGTTTGATTAACGTCTGTCTCCCCAACTGGATGGCAGAGTACAGAAAAGCAAGGGCTGAGTGTCTGCTCACAGATATCCCAGTGCCTCACATGAGGCGGACACTCCAGAAACACCTAATCAGGTGGATGGTGAGTGGATGGTGGGTGGGTGGGTAGATGACCAACCTTGGTCTGCCCCCAGCTGCCCAGCCCGGCTCTACCTGCTGCTGCTGGGCTCGGAGGTCACCAATCTCCTTCTGGTCCTCCTCATGGAGCCGCTTCATGTCCTCCCACGACTGCTGTAGCAGATTACGTTCCCGCAGCAGCTGTCCGTTCTCCCGCCTTAGCATGTTGACATCATCCTTCAGCTGGGTCTGGTCGCTGAGGAGCCGGCTATGGAGTGTGCTGAAATCCCACACACACAGTGAGTCCCAGCTAGTCCCCAACCCCCACCCCAAATCATCACCAGCCCCTCCAGGTCCCAATACTCCCAATACACCAGACAGGAGCCAAGAGCAGCCAGGTCAGCAACACTCAGAGGCAGGCCAAAGCCTGCTATCAGATAAATGCCAGAAGGATGCAAACCATTTTTTAAAAACTTGACACCAAAAGAGGCATATATACCAAAAAAGGAAAAAAAGAGATATGCCCCTACCTGGTATAGACTTGGCACCTCCAAGTACTGAGGCCTGGGCAAACATCAGCGGCTGGGCAGGCATATACCCTCAGAGGGACACAAGGAGACCAAAAGGGAACAGGCCCCATCTGCCTCCCCCATGGCCAGAAGCTGCAGCAAAGCCCCCGGACAGTGACCGAGAAGCCCAGTGACCTGCCTGGCCTACCACCTCATGTTTTCAAACACTCTGTTACCTACCATGCTCCTAAAGCCTGCAGCCAATGGCGTGAAGGGTTAATAGCCTCACTGTGCACTTAGGAAAATGAGGCCCAAAAACATCCCACTTGCTGAAGCCCAGTACTTGTTGTGTGGCAGTGGCAGGACTAGAACCAGAACCCCTGGCTCCAAGTCCAGATATAAAGGAGGGAGGGCAAGAGGCAGCCATTCAGTGGATGCTGGGAGCCCGTGCCAGGCAGGCCCCACTCACTGGTAGAAGTCAGTCTCCTTGGCCACCTCCTCACACCTCTTCAAGGCGTTGGTGTGCTGGTTCTGCAGGCTCTGCAGGTCCGACATGGCCCGCACACACTGGATCTTCAGCCTCTCATAGTCGGGATTCAGCCTGTGGTAGGGCCTGGCCCAGACAGCAAACAGCCCCATAAACACAGGCCCCAGGATCACACTGACAAGGAACATCTCTCTCCTGAGAAGCCATATCCTGGGTCACTCCCGCCCAGTGGTCTCCAAATAGTGGTCTCCTATGCACCACAACCACCTGGGGGCTTGTTAAGTTCAGGTGTCCTAGCTGCACCCAGACCAACAGAGTCAGAATCCCCAGGACGGAAAGAGCCTTGGTTGCCCAAGCTCCCTGCATGGGCCTGGACAGCTGAGAAGGTGCCGTCTTGTTCTCTAGGAGCTTCTGGGAGATCATGTGACAGGCCTGCACACATATTACAGGCACCAAAAACCTGTGAGGATGCTTCTCCTCTCCTGAGAACAGTGATCTCAATCATGGGCACACATTAGAACACCGAGGCCCAGAGCAATTACATCAGCCATCCCTAAGGCGAGGACTCAGACATCAGGATTTTTCCTTTTAAACTCCCCACGGGATCCCAATGTGCAGCCAAGGTTGAGAACAGTGGCCAGCAGCAGTGGTTCTCAAAGTGGAGTTCCCAGACCTGCAGCATTAGTATCACCTGGGAACTTGTTAGGCCCCAGCCCTCTTGATTCAGGACTTGGGAAGGAGGTAGGGCTAACTAGCAATCTGTGCTTCAAAAACAAGCCCTCAGGGTGATTCCAGTATGTGCTTGAGTTTGAGAACCCCTGCTCCAAAGCAGGTATCAGCAACTTTTGTAAAGGGCCAGAGAGTAAACACCTTAAGCTCTGCCAGCCATGCAGTCTCTGTGCAACCACCCACTCTGCCTTGGCAGCATGAAAGCAGCCATGGACAATATGCACTCTAGTGCACCACATCTTCACTGGCCCTGCCTTCGTGCTGTCTGACTGAGGGGCATATCCTCAGAAAGGTAACCTCAAGAAACAGGCTTTGCAGCCCTGACATCACCCCCAGAGGAAACTTTCTTGGGAAAAGGTGCACACCCCTGATGCTTCTAAAGGAAAGAGGTTAAATCAATTTCCCTCCCCTCAGGAACCCTACTAGCATCTCCCAGAAGGATAAACTTCTCTGTGTCCCTCCTCCACCTCCTCCATGAAGCCCTCTTGGACTATGCAAGTGGGTAAAGGCTCTCCCTCTGCCCCACCCCATCGGCCACCCTTCCCTGGTATCTACCTCTAAATTCCAATAAAAGAAGAAATCAAAGATTTTCTCCAAAACAACAAAGAAGCCAGGTAGACTACACCCTTCCTAAAATGCATATATGGCAGGGTTCAATTAATGTGTTTACAAACTGCATAAAGATCCACCCAACGGGAGGCAGGCTGGGGTCTTCTGGGAGACAGTGGTGCACACATGCATACAGACAGATCCCCATGCAGACGCACACACAGAGACAGGCACACACACATGTGGACCCACCAAGGGCTCAGCAATGGGATGACTATGTCTATTAGGGCATGGCATGGGGTGCACACAGCAGCAGACAAGGGATTAAGAAGGAAGCATACTGTCTTGGCACCAGAAAGCAGAGGCGTAGAAGAGGATAGTGACAAGCTCAAGGCCATCCAACTAACCAGTGAGGAGGCGCCAAAGTGGGAGCAGGCCCCTCAGCTGCTGCCAACACCGCCCACCAAATGATCACCTGCAAGGCCAACAGAAAGGCTAGGAGGCTGGCCCCAGGCTCTTCTGCCACACACACACAGACACACACAGACACACATGAGCACACCACTGTCAGGTGCCAAATGTTTGATGAACACACACCCCAACTCCACTGAATCCCTGAGTTGTGAGATTCAGGTCATGGGCTCTGATTTTCATCTGGAGGAAGCAGAATAAGACTGTGACCTTCCCCCTAGGCCCACAGGGAGAGCGTTTCACTGTGACAACGTTGGGGCAAGGGGACACCCTGGCAGTGCAGCATTGACCCCGGGGAACTCAGGAGCCCCTGGGGGGCAGGCGATGGTGATGGCATCAGGATAACCCTGGCCGACTGGCAAGGTGGTGAGTGCTGGGCAGGGTGTGGGCTGACCACTACCTCTTGTCAAAGGTCGTCCCGTGAGTCGCAAAGGCCAGGCGTTTGCGCAGTTCATTCCTCTCTCGGGTCATGAGCCGCAGCTGGATGGAGAGGTTCTCCACCTTCTCGTTCACTTGCCGGTCAGTGAGGAGGGGTGGCGGAGACGGTGCCTTCCCTGTGGTACCTGGAAGGAAGAAGGTAATACAGTGAGCTTGTATGTACACAGCACTCACCAGGTGCAGGCACTGTTCTGAGCGCTTGGCTTGCATAAGCTACTCCCAACAATCCTAGCAGGAGGTCCTGTTAGCATCCCTCTTTCGCAGATGATAACACTGAGTCAGAGAGTAAGAGGTGGAAGTGAGACCTGAGCCCAAGCAGTCTGGCTTCAGCATCCAGGCAGTTACCCACCCACTCTCCTGGCCCTGGCTGAGCACCTCCACTCTCGTCGCAACCCGGCTTTGACACCTCCAGGATGAACTGTTGTGGTCCTAGTCTGGAAATACTGGCTATCACCCACCCCTGGGCATGGGGAGGCCAACCTGAGCCCCAAGCATACTGGAAGATACGGCCTGAGGAGAAAGGGACAATCGGAACCCAAAGAAGTTCCTGAGGATCGAGGCAGTTGGCTCCAAAGCAGCTCTGACAAGATCAAAATCTGTTTCTAAGAAGAAAGTGCTTCATTAAATGCCCAGGAAAAAGAGACGACTCCATGGTGCTTTGATATTTGACTGTTCATATATTCACCTGAGATCTCTAACCCTCAGAGATCCTCAGTGGGGTCACAGGAACCCACAGAAGACATCCCATCTTACAGATGTGATCTGGAAGGCTGACTCACCCCAAGGACACAGTGTTGTCTCCTCAGTCGCCCTAGAATGTGCAAAGGGCAAGAGGCACGACTTCTGACTCTGTGCCACTCCAACTGCCACCCCCTAGCTGATCTCTAATGGCTGACTGCTCGTACAAACCAAGTGTCCTCGAAGACAGGCACTCAGGTGCGGCCTTGTGTCATCCAGAAGTGCTGGGAGAATGGGGAGTTTGACACTGTGGGTGAGAAGCTAGACTGTGGTCTGAGGCAGGTGCCTCAAGCCCTCAGCTCAGCATTTTTCCAGACTTGGTACCCCAACCATATGAACCAGCACCCCTGAAGTACATGGTATTGTAAAACCACCACCACCACCACCACCAGGGTTCCTGGGCTCCAGGCCAGACCTCTGGGGTCAGAACGTTCTCTAAGGTGGAAATGCCGGGACCAGCATTTCCATGAGCATCTCCCCTCCCCACGTGGTTCTACTACACAGCCTGAGAAGCCTTCCCCGAAAAGACCCCATATCCTCACCCCTGTCCCCTGGAGTTCTGAAAAACAGGCTGGTTACAGCTCTGTGTGGGCTGGGTCACTTCTTCCTCCTCTGGCAAATGAAGTCACTTCTATGAGCTTTAGCCCAGGGCCAGTTCCACACTGTCATCTGATTTGCAGTAACTGACCCAGCTCCGACAAGTAGGGTTTCCTCTGGACATGTGTCTGATGCCCGTTCTGGAGATGCTATGACTCACCTTCTAACCAACTCCAGGGGGGAAATTACCTGTGGAAGAGTGACAAATCCAAGACAGTGGGATGAAAAGACTCAAAGAGCACCCGTAAAAGGGGAATTTCAACGTTCATGTTCATGAGCAACCCACACAACAGCAGCCAACATAGATGTCTCAGGCATTAATTTAATCGTCCCAACAACTCCACAGGTGGGTACGAATGTTATCATCTCCTTCTCACAGGTGAGGAAACTGAGGCCCAGCAAGGTTAGGCAATGGCCTCAAACATGCACAAATGGCAAGCGGTGCCCTGGGAGGACAGCCCAGGTGCCTGGATCCAAAGCACAGGCTCTTGGCCACGGTGCCTTGCTGCCTCCCAAATGACAACACTGACTTCATGCCCAGCAGTTTCTGAAATGCTTTTCATATATTACCCCATTCAATCTCCTTAAGGAAGACACCGCTGTTATTCCCATGTTATGGATCAGGAAACAAAACCTTACCAAGGTCAAACAACGTGTCCAGGTCACAGAGCCAGAGAATGACAGCACTGAGATGTGACCCTCCCTTCACCTCCGCCTTCCACCTACCCGACCCCAGAGCCCAAGGTCTCAGGTTCACATTAACCTAAAAGCTCACAAACTTTTTCATCTTAGGACCTCTTCAGACTCTTAAAAATGACTGAGGACTCCAAAGAGCTTTTGTTTATTTGGGTATATCTATCTAACAATACCTACCAGATTAGAAAGTAAAACTAAAAAGAATTTTTAAATATCTACTAATTTTAAAACAACCAAAAACCCGTTGCATATTCACAGAAGATGTTTTTTATGAAAAATTAACTACCGTTTCCATTACAAAACAAAAAATGCAATGAGAAGAGTGGTATTGCTTTTCATCTTTATAATGCTGTCTGACATCTGCCTTAATATAGAGAGCTAGAGTCTCCTGTCTGTGCAACATCACATACCATGGATGGAACTTCAGAAAACACCAGTCTACAGTGGAGTCTGCATGAGGACAACAGTGGAAAAGGCAAGTGACATCTTAGCATCATTCTGGAAACAGTCTGACCTCACCACCCTGAAAGGACCGCAGGGGCAGCAGACCAAGCTTTGAGAACGGCTGCTCTGCGCTATAATCAAGTCAAAGCAGTATCAGAAAAATAGCAAATCTCGAGTTTCAGAACTGAAAAGCACCACAAGGCCTAGCAACCTACCTCCAGGGAGATGAGGAATTTTCACCCAATTTTACAAATGAGGCAACAGAAAGATGCTTCCCTTGGCTTTCAAGGAAGCTGGAGAGAGGAGAAGAAGCAAGACAGAAGTACAGGTTATGAGACTTGTCAGCACCCCAGCCATGGCCTCCTGTCTGTCTCCAGTGGGGTGAGGCCACAGGCTGTGCAGCCGTGACGATCTGGGGGCAACCAATGAGGTGAATGCCGACATTTGCCCAGCACAAGCCAGGAGCTGGGTTCTGTGCTAAATGCACTCCATCTTCACCTCATTAATCCCGCAGCACCCTTCCAGGTACCTGCTATGATCACCCCATGAAAAACTGATGTCCAGAAAACGGTGGACCCCCTTGCAAACTCAGCTCTAACTCCAGAGCTGGGGCCTCAACCACTTTGCTACATGGCCTCCCAACAGGAGTGGTCTCCAGTTGCCCTTCCCTAGCCCCAAAGGTTTGAGCACACGTGAAACATACAAGTGAGGCCACCCCAATCCATCACTGGCAGGCTCTCTGGCTTAAGGGAAAATGCTGCCTAGGTGCCTCTACTTTCACAAGGAGGAAGGCGGAGAGTGGAGGAGGGCTGCAGTGGACCTCAAGAAGAATCCCAAGATGTGCTAAGCCAGGAAGTTCCAAACTAACAGAAAATCCTCTCCATCCCCATTCAACTAAAAATACAGTTTTTCTCTTTTTACTTGCATCTCAGGTTGAAAGACGTTTTGAAGATGATGCAGTCCACTCATCCAAACAGTTGCCAGAATCCCTTAAATAGCCACCAAGACTGTTTGAACTCCTCTGCAGTGAAGGAGTTCACTATGCAGCAAAGCCTGTCTAATCTCTCCCCAGAAAATTATTCTGTGTACTGATTTAAAATCTGTCTCTTCAACTTCGCCACTGACCCTAGATGCACCTGCCTAATGGCCATAAGGTACAACTGTAATTCCTCTTCCACACAACAGACCTGCAAGTGTTTAAAGACAATTACCAAGTCCCATTATCACTACCAGAATAGCTAAAAAGTGACACCACCAAATGCTGGCACGGATGCAGAGAAATTAAAATTCTCAAACATTGCTGGTAGAAATACAAAATGATACACCACTTTAGAAAATACTTTGGCAGTCTTTTATAAAGTTAAACATGCATGTACCATACCACCCATTAATCCCACTCCTAGGTATTTACATAAGAGAAATAAAACTTTATGTTCACATAAAAACCAGGATACAACTGTTTCTAAGAGCTGGTGAATGGATAAACCACACTGTTACATTCATACAACAGAATACTACTCAGCAATGAAAAGGAATGAACTACTAGTAACAACTTACCAACATACACAAGAGCACAGGGGACTCTTGAATGCCTTATGCTAACCGGAAGCCTGACTCAAAGGCTACATACTTACTGATTCTATTTATAAGATATTTGGGCAGAGACAAAACTACAGGGACAGAAAAGAGATCAATGGTTGCCAGGGACTGAGGGTGGAGGAAAGGAAGACTGCAAAGTTGCAGAAGGAAATTCTGGGGCGTGAAGGAACTGTTCTGTATCTTAATGGTGGCAGTGGCTAAATGACCATAAGTGTTTGTTAAAACTCACTGAACTATATACTAAAAAGGCTAAATTTTCTTGTATGCAATTTATACCTTAATGAATATGACTTTTAAATTTTTTTTTAAGTTAAAAAAACCTGTGGTGCGCTAAACTGAAGCCACCATCCCAGGAGCAGTGTGAGTGGTGAAGAGATATGGATTGCCAACCCCCTCAACAGTCACTGAAGTTACAGGAAACATTTTAAATGATAAGCAAAATAAAAACTAACATCAAGTGAATTGTCCACAAAAACGTCAGATGCCTTTCCCTCAGTTCTCCTACCCTCCGCAGCTATTCTTTTGGATTCAAATGCAAACCTGTCCACTCTCCCCAAGTTCACTCCTTCCTCTTTCTAAATCTGGAACCCACTTGAAAAGAGGGCAGATTTCCTCTTTCCTTTTGATGTCCAGGATGGGATCCAGAGAGTAAGGGATTTCGATTGGACTAAAATGACCCCAAAAGGGGTGCTAGAAGATGCCAGGAGAGCTGGCGCAAACCCTGGATTTTGGACAAAGAGCCATCTCTCATCTGGGCCTTGGTGTGAGAGGGAGAGTGGGAGCAGAACAGGTGCAGAGTCCCTCTCACCACCACAAGAGTCCTGGCTCCTCCTCCCAGTCACCCTGGGTGGGTGCAGCCACCTCCATAGACCACTGAGGCACAGCGAGCAGCCTGGCAGCTGGGTGGTCTTCTTGGCCATAAGCCCCTTTGTCCTTAGCTCCCTCTTAACCATGCTCCAGCTGGCCCTGAAGGCAAGCCTCTCGACTTTATTTACAGCTGGACAGGTTGCAACTCTGCTTCAGAGCCCTGTGGGCCCATCGTGCCAGAAGT